TGTGGGGCAGAGAAGGTGGTGAAAGAGAGAGAGAGAGAGACATGTACCTGGTGTATGCAGCAGTCTGCATGGGCGACTTCGTCACGTACACTGGTTTTCGGCTGGAAGTGATTCTTGGTTGCATGTCGTAGTGTAGGCTAGCATAGGTTCTCAGAAGGGGTAGGCTGGGTGCTGAGTGCCAATCAAGAAGGGCGACATTGGATACAACGTTGATGGTGGCGAGAAGAGGCTGACATTGACTTTTGAGTTCATTGTATTGCTCTTATTTGCCTCGTATCTCATGCCTTCTGCTGTCTACTTGGGGCCCTACTATCTGCTCTTCAACGTGATATTGCAAGTTGGTTTTCTGTCTATCACTCATTTCCCTTGCAATAGGGCCGAAAAGGTGTTTTGGGGGTTAAAAAAAAAAGTGGTTTTGGGATCGACTGTGAAGGCCCACCTGGACAACAGCAGGTAAGGATATGGTGGTAAGCTATAGCGTGAACCAGGCCAAAATTGATATCAGGTTCATCAGAGCATAAGTGCGAACCAGGCCAAAATTGATATCAGGTTCATCAGAGCATACAATATAACAAAGGGGTTATTACGAGCGCATTTTCAGGGTGGCCACAAAACACCGTCCAGCAATTTTCACGACTCCCCACATTAAACACCCTCCAGCAATTTCCAGAATTGGCCATTAAAAAAAAAAACACGCTCCAGTAATTTCCCTAATTGGCCATATAAAACACCCTTCCGTGAAAAACAAAAGAAAAACGAAAACTCCAACTGCACAGTGCACACGTTAACGAGCTTGGCCTTCTCTCATTTTCACCAAGATGCTTTACGAAACTCTGCACGTAAAGAGCTCGCAATAATGATGAAACGAATACCAGACCTCGTCACAGTGACGATTCACACAGTCAAAGCAAGATAGGCCAAGATGAGGCAGAGAGACACCTCTGCACGTAAAGAACTCGCAGAGAGACACACAGAGCACGTGGAGGAGTTCGTAGTACGGGGTGGCCAATCCTCTGGGGACATGATTTCCTGGCCCCACACAGCCCCACACAGTCCCCCACATTCTGACGTGTCTCCATCGGTGGGACCCGAACTTGACACCACTGTGCCAGGTGTCTCGACGAACGAATCCAGCCCTTCACCTTCACCTTCACCCTGTCCTCTCTCTCTCTCTCTCTCTCTCTCTCTCTCTCTCTCTCTCTCTCTCTCTCTCTCTCTCTCTCTCTCTCTCT